CTTCTAATTGACAAGTTTTTGCAGCATGGCTTGTTGGTTACCTTGTAATAAACCCAAACCCAGACCCTAGTAGGGGTCCACTACAGCCCTCATATTTTGTTTTCCTTATAAAATTCAGCCAGTTCTAACTAAATGTAAATATTACTCATTTAAAACTGGGAAAAAAGAAAGGAATAGTCTTGTCTTAATAGGTTACTTAGAGGTTAATTCAAATTATGAATTTAGAAAAGTCATCTATGAAAGAAGGTAAAGAATCAGAAAGTAGGAGAGAGAAATGTGAGGGAAGTTATGAGTATGAAGATGCATTTTTGGTAAGGAAGGTTTTAAAGAAAGATAATAATTTTGTATGGGAGAGGATCTTGTATGGTAAATTTTGTCCTACAATAAAATGACTGGTTATTTGGGGGAAAAAAGGAAAGTATAGGGCAAAACAGAAAGTCCAAGAATGTCATAGATGGTCTGTGTAAAGTTCATGTAAAGGAATGCATGAAAGGAATTCTATGAATGAGCACATTTGCTAAAGGGGATCATTTAGTTAATTTTATGAATTAGCCATTAATATCAAAATCACACTAATTTTGGGCCAGAAAGTCATTATGTCAAAATAACAGTGTTTTCTCAAAACACTAATCTGCCCTTTAATAAAATTCTAAGGTGTTTATAAAAATCTTACTTTGTGGTCAAACTAATTAATACACTTGTTTATAAGGTTTTATTGACATTAACTTCAGTGTATACTTATGCAAGGATAAAATTTGTTATTCTCTTTTAAACAAGATTTTTGTATGATTTCAAGAGATAAAAGTTTTTGTTTACTTTTTAAGTAAACTACAAAGAAAGCGGGGAGAGGGACCATTTAAGTTGACCCTTGCTGTCTTTCTTTTTACTGTTTAAAGAAATGGATCTTCTCTATCAAAGAGTAAGGTTTTTGCTTTTCCAAATCTTTGGGCTAGGCATGGCCCAAAGCCTATAATCCCAGCACTCTGGGAGGCTGAGGTGAGAGGATTGCCTGAGCCCACAGACTTGACAACAGCCTGGGCAACTTGGCGAGACCTCATCTCCACAATAAATTAAAGAAACAAAAAGCCGGGCAAGATAGCCTGTACCTGTAGTTCAAGCTTCTTGGAAGGGTGAGGTGGAAGGATCACCTGAGCCCATGAGGTCAACCCTGGGGTGGCCGTATGCGTGCCACTGCACTCCAGCCTGGATGACAGAGACTCCAATTCAAAAAAACCCAAACAAACTTTGAATTATCATTTTGGCTAAATGAATAACTATTTTACAATAGCCCGTAATCTGGTGTTATGATATCATCCTTTTAAAACCTTTAATATTTAACAAACCTTCCAACATGAAAATTCAACTTCTCAATTCAGTCTTTCTGACTTTTAAAAAAATTATTTTAGTAATAGGTTTTCCTGAAATCCAAAGAGACACTTAACTCATTTGGTATGCTAAAATCACACAGGAAGCATTGTCAAACATGAAAGAGTGTTTAACTTTCTTAAGGTTATATCTATGTGTGTCACTGGCATGTGTTCCAAAATTGCTCATTTCTGTAATTCCGACATATACAAATATGTGTTATCAGTAGTAACAATTATTATGTTAAGTTGTACGCCATAAAATAACCAAATTTTCTTATCAACTGTGTCTTTGGCTAAATTTAAGACTTTTGTCATTCACTATTATTGTTTTGCTTTAATCCTTCTCAAAAAGCAGCTTATAATTAGTTAAAGGACCCTGACAGGTGCTTTTCAGTGACAATCTATCAACTTTTGAGATTGTACTATTAAACTAAAGAAAAAATATTCTTCCAGGACTCTTATTAAATACAAAACAAAACCTTATTTGCTCATGAAGATTGCTGATCCAAATAGGAAAGAACAAGCGTTCACTGTATAAACTGAATTAATAGGAACTAAATAATTTTATAAGTTTTTTGTTGTTTGAAGTATTGCTGATTCTTTTATATTTTTCAGAAGTTAAAAGAAAAAAAACTTTTTTCTTGGAGCTATTTATAGCCTTTAACAAATGAGGAAAGTATGCTCTTGTAAGCAACATTTAAAACATATATCTTTCTACCTAATTTCTCTAGAATTTGAAAACTATTTGTGAGTATTGATTTATGACAGATTTGCAGAATTTCAATAAGAATCTTTTTCTTTTGTAACAAGTGTGACTGGAAATACTGGTTATCTTACTAAGGGTTTGGGTGGGCTCAGAGGCTTTTGAAGAATCTAAGCTGAGATTCCTTATGGAAAGAGTTCCAACAAAGCCAATTTTAAAAGAGTCTATATGCCAGATGCGGTGGCATAATCCCAGCACTGTAATCCCAGCACTTTGGGAGGCAGAGAGAAGAGGATTGCCTGAGCCCAGGGGTTCAAGACCAGCCTAGCAACTTGGCAAGACCTTGTCAATAAATCAAATTAAAAAATTAGCCAGGCATGGTGGTGCATGCCTGTAGATCCAGCTTCTTGTAAGACTGAGGTGGAAGGCTTGCCTGAGCCCCCCAGCAGACTGAGGTCACGGTGGCCATGAGCATGCAACTGCACGCCAGCCTGGGTGACAGAGTAAGACGCCCACTCAAATAAAATAAATAAATAAATAAATAAATAAATAAATAAATAAAATAGAGGAAGTATTCCAACATTTTTCCTTATTGGCACAGCAGGCTTGATCACCCGGTAGGCTGGAATGTGAAGTTACCAATGTAGCCCAGCCTTTCAGCTCATAACATAATAATTGCTGTAAAAGTCTATCAAGTTTCCTATAAGGCAAATTCGTGTTCAGGAAAAGCCCTTTCCCTAAATTCATCAAAGGGAAAACTCTTCAAAGTGGAAAAGTGGTAATCTGCCTTTCAGTTCATGGTTAACATAATATTAGCTGTAAAAGTCTATTATGCTTCCTGTCAAAGGCAAAGTATGCATTCAGGAAAAGCCCACCCCCTCAGCTCATCAAAGGGGAAGAGATGAACATCAAAACTTGGGACCAGATACCTGCAGCCCATCCTTTAGCATAATATCATTGCATAGGTATATCAAGTTCCTTGTCAAAAGCAAAAGTATGGTCTTTCTCTTAAGATGCCCATGCCTGTGAGGCATGCACACACACGTTCTCTCTCTTTTCTCTCTCCCATAAATTCTGCTCTGAAATGCTTTTCTGTAGAGGGTCAAAGAATCCATGGAGCGTCATGCCGGACCCCACCTGGCAACATAACCACACTCACACTCTATGGGTGTGCCCCACATCATGCCTCTAGAGCACTTTGTGCATATCTCCCTCTTATAATTTACTACATTCACATTATATTGAAATGATTTATTTCTGCTCCTGACTTTCTGTTGGAAGAGCAGAAATTGTATCTTATTAGTCTCGGTAACCCCAATGCTTTATACAGTGTCTAGCAAATCACGGGTACTCAAATATTTACTTAACTGAAATCCAGTCAAGAAGGCAAATAAAAATGTACAGCTCGACAAAGTTGCCTAAAATAGAGGAAAGCAGCCGGGCTCGGTGGCTCAGCCTGTCATCCCACGCCTTTGGGAGGCTGAGGTGAGTGGATGGCCTGAGCCCGCGGGTTCGAGACCCGCCTGGGCAGCGAGACCTCATCTCTACAATAAATCAAAAAATCAGCCGGGCGTGGTAGCGCATGCCTGTAATTCCGGCTACTCGGAAGGCTGAGGCGTCAGGATCGCCGGAGCCCAGCAGGTCGAGGCTGCGGTGGCCGGGAGCGGCCACTGCACTCCAGTCTGGGCGACAGAGTGAGACTCCGACTCAAAAAAAAAAAAAAAAAAAAAAATAGAGGAAAGCACAACTTCGCAACTCTTTAGTTGTAATTGCACAATCCCTGAACACTTGGTGGCCAAATCCGACCTTACTTGAAGTTATTTGTGGAGCTTATTTATTCTACTTTGGGTAGATACATCTTACTGAGTTTCAGTAATATTATGGTTTCAGGTGAGGGATCAGAAGAGGACGTTGTTAAATGTAAGGGTTTCCTCAAGTGGTTTCCGCATCTGTGATCCTGGAGGAAGCACTCACCTCCTGAGCAGTGGCTTGAAGGGTGTCCAGATGGCGACCAGTGATGTAAACTGTGGCACCTGCTCGGCAGAGCTGCAAGGCGATGCCACGGCCAATACCTCTGGAGGCACCAGTCACTACACACACTTGGCCCTTCATGGGAGATGCCATGACTCACAGGTGAAGGGGGAAAGTCTGTGGAAGCAAAGACTTGCTCTGAGGGAAGTCTGCAGATTTTGTGTGGAGTGGAGGACCCCACTAGTGATAGATAAGAGGGGAAGCCAAGTTTTCCGAATCCTTTGAGGGGAGATAAGTTTCATATGGGGACAACTGAGTGTGGTCCCCAGGGCAAGACTGACTGTCCCTTTTGAGGCCCAGGGAGCGAAAAAGGGACTGGTTGGGGCACCCAGTGCGACTCTGCGCGGGGCTGACTGGGTGGAGGAATCTGGCGCTGCAGCCTCTCGGGGCGCGTCCACGCCAAGTCCTGGCCTCCTGGAGTTCTGGGCCCCGGCTCGTGCTCATCTGGCGAAGCCAGGAGCGCTGCTTCTGGGTCCGGGGTGTGCACGAAGCCCAGAGACCTGAGGCCTGAGTGGAGGGCGCTGGCGCCCCTTACCTGCCACCTGTGCTGCCTCTGGGATCCTCGCGCAGTCTAGCTCGTCAACTTTATTGCCGCAGGGGCGGGACGAAATGACTACGTGAGGGGCAGGTTGCAGGGCTGGGGTGGAAGTTCGTGTTCTGGCCTGCATTGAGCTGGCCACGGGCAAGGCAGGGAGGGCTCAAGGCTCGCATCGTAGGAGCGTAGGCAATTCTGGGCTGGGGCAGAGGGGGCGGATTCCTGGATCGAGGTTCCGACTGGCAATTAGGGGCGGAGCGATTTGGGAGACGCACCCACCCTGTTCGGCTGGGGCCGTCGCGGAACTATGACGTGTGCTATGCACCGGAAGCGCGCCGGCCTTTTAAAACTTGGTGTGGCCCCGGCACGCTCCTGACGGTGTTGAGGGTCAGTCTGCTACTGAGGGAGTTTTTACAGCCGGAGAGGTCCCTAAGCACACATGGGGTTGGAGCCGCGCTCCCCCCACAAGACGGGGCACCGGTTCCCAGCTGGTGGCAAACGGGGGCGCAGGGCCAAGGGCTCGGGGCGCCCCTCAGTAGGCCGCTCGCGGCAACCCCGGCAGCCTCCGGATGGGCGTTCGGAGCCGGCTCCAGATTCCCACCCCCACCTGAGCCCCGAAGCTCTGGGGTATTTCCGTCGGGCGCTGTCCGCGCTAAAAGAGGCTCCCGAGACTGGAGAAGAACGAGGTAGGGAACATTTCATGGGTTAAACCAAGGACATAAAAACCAGGAATGGCAAGAAAACTTTCGGGGTCACTAGGGTGTGGGGACTTAGTTTTATTATTGTCCTTGTCCTCTTCCTTGGCTCTCGCCCCTTGATTAAGTGATGAAACATAACCTTATTCTCTACTAAGTCTCTTTTTAAAATGTTTCTTTTCTCGTTTCTCTAGAGTTGATGGTGTGCAATATTTTGAAGGAAGTGGAGGCTCAGGCCCTAGCCTTGTCCATGAACAGGACTGGCAGTGAGATGCTGCAGGAACTGTTGGGATTCAGTCCCTTGAAACCGCTCTGTAGAGTATGGGCCGCTCTGCGCTCCAACTTGCGCTCTGTAGCCTGCCATCGGTGCGGGGTCCATGTATTGCAAAGTGCTTTACTGCAGCTGCCTCGATTGCTGGGGAGTCCGGAGGAGGAGGAGGAGGAGGAGGATGAGGATGGGAAGGATGGTCCCATGGAAACCCTGGAGGAGCTGGTCCTGGGACTGGCCGCTGAGGTGTGTGATGATTTTCTTTTCTACTGTGGAGACACACATGGCAGCTTCGTGATGAGAACTCTGCTGCAGGTGTTAGGAGGGACTATTCTGGAGTCTGAGAGAGCCAGGCCCCGTGGTTCCCAATTATCTGGTAAGTATTGCAAGAAAGGGAAGTGGATCTACCAGTTTAGGAAGTTCAGAAGGAGATAGTAAACAGAAGAGCAGTTCTTCATTGGGGAGCATGACCTGGAAGAATTAGCAGAGATTAGACAGGACTTAGCAGGCCAAAGATTAGTGTGCGCAGAGACCCAGAGATAGGGATGCACAGTTGTTTTAGGAGACACCTATTAGAATGGGGTCAGGAGTAGGAGTGATTTATATAGAGCAATGAATTTCAAGCCTTTTAAAAAAAAAATTTTAGCATGACTAAACATACAAATGTATGTATATACACGTACAGGACTCAAGCATAAGTTCAGGAAAAAATACCCTTACGACATGCAATCCATTCTGATCTTTTCTTTTTTTTTTTTTTTTGAGTTGGAGTCTCACTCTGTCGCCCAGACTGGAGTGCAGTGGCCGCTCCTGGCCACCGCAGCCTCGACCTGCTGGGCTCCGGGGATCCTTCCACCTCAGCCTTCCAAGTAGCCGGAATTACAGGCATGTGCTACCACGCCCGGCTGATTTTTTGATTTATTGTAGAGATGAGGTCTTGCTGCCCAGGCGGGTCTCGAACCCTCAGGCTCAGGCAGTCCACTCACCTCAGCCTCCCAAAGGCGCAGGAATACAGGCTGAGCCACTCAGCCCGGCTTAATCTTTTCTTTTCTTTTTCTTTTTTTTTTGAGTTGGAGTCTCACTCTGTCGCCCAGACTGGAGTGCAGTGGCCGCTCCTGGCCACCGCAGCCTCGACCTGCTGGGCTCCGGGGATCCTTCCACCTCAGCCTTCCAAGTAGCCGGAATTACAGGCATGTGCTATCACGCTTGGCTGATTTTTTGATTTTATTGTAGAGATGAGGTCTCGTTGCCCAGGCAGGTCTCGAACCCGCGGGCTCAGGCAATCCACTCACCTCAGTCTCCCAAAGGCGCGGGATTACAGGCTGAGCCACCAAGCCCGGCCTCTTTTTTCTTTTATTCTGTTCTGTTTCATATTTTTAAAAAAATGCTGATTGAGACCATTAACTTAGTTTCATGATACAGTCATAGGCTGTGATCTACATTTTGAAAAACTCTGGGAAATAAGTTTAGAGAGTTTAACTGAGGCTTTAATTTGGAATGTCTTGAATACCTGGCTGAGGAATTTGAAATATCCCTATGGACCATGAAGAGCTGGTTGAAGTTTCTTAGATAAATTAAAGCAGAAGTTTATTCTCAGTTTAGTCATCCAGAGGAGACATTCAGTTGTACATCTGTTTTGCATCTCAAGGTAAATCCTTGTTCATCTGTGAAGTTCTTCTCCCTCCTGCATGGCAGTTTGTGATCTCACTATTGCACATTTTTTATCTTCCCTTAGAAGCACAAAGGGCCCCAACTCGGGAATGTAAGCCAACTGATTTTGAGGTCCCTGTAACCTTCTTGAATCGTCTTCAGGACCTGAGCTCCTGCTTTTTGAAAGACATTGCTGGTAAGGAGGAAAGTAGGTGGAGGATCTAGGATCTACTTTTCTGGAGGTGATTGCCACCAAGCAAGTTCCTTAGGTCAGGTTATTCCTCTTCTTTTTAAACTTGGTCTGGTTTGATGTCACAGTGCACTTCATATAGACTCTTTGTGTCCGTAGTCCCTTGTATCTTGGTGCTTACGTCTTGAAGTTGTGCCAGTTATCTGAATTTCGGAAATCTGTTTGATTTCTTCCCTCTCCTCACAGTGTTTATCACTGATAAGATCTCCAGCTTCTGCCTTCAAGTGGCCTTACAGGTATTACACCGCAAACTACCCCAGGTGTGTGCCCATCTCTGCAGTGCTGTGATTAGCTACCTGAGTACTCGCAATTCCTTGGCAGATGGCAGGTATGGTCTGGATCTCAGGAGTGACCAAGAATGGTGGGACTGTGGAGTTAAGACTGCCTGATTCCCTTCTCCTTGTCTTTAGCCCCCTACTGCTATTTCTGCGGGATCAGACAAGCTCTAGGCTCCTGGAGCAGGTGCTGCTAGTATTGGAGCCCCCAAGCCTCCAGAGCCTCTTTGAGGACCACTTGCAGGGGCAGCTCCAGACCTTGGCTACACATCCCATTGCCAACTTCCCTTTACAACGCTTACTGGATGCAATCACCACCCCTGAACTGGTGAGTTAGAAACTTGGGCTGAGTGTTTCTGCTAATTCTTGGTAATTGGGCCTTATTTTATTGTGTGACTGCCTCTGTGTATCTTTGACAACACACTGGCCATTGCGCTTGAAAAGTTATTCATCAGCCGGGCATGGTGACTCAGGCCTATAATCCCCGCACTTTGGGAGGCCAAGGCAAGAGGATTGCCTGAGCCCGTGGGTTCGAGACTAGCCTGGGCAACATGGTGAGACCTCATCTCTACAATAAATCAAAAAAATGAGCAGGGCATGGTAGTGCGCACCTGTAGTTCAGGCTACTTGGAAGGCTGAGGCAGAAGGATTGCCTGAGCCCAGCAGGTTGAGGCTGCGGTGGCTGGGAGTGTGCGATTGCACTCCAACCTGGGTGACAGAGTGAAGCTTCAACTCAAAAAAAAAGAAAAAAAAGTTATTTCTTGAGATTGATTTTCCAGAGCTATGAGGTGCCCTACTCCTAGAGAGGATTCTTTATTTTGACTGCTCTCAGGTATAAGTACCAGCAGGAGACTAGCTTAATTCAGGTTTGCATCTTGAGGTTCCATGGCCCTCTCAGACTCTTAATACTTACCTACAGGGTATGTGAATGCTAGGGCTGTTGCCGTAGCTTTTCTTTTCCTTTGCTGCTTACCACTAAGGTGGGCTTCCCTGTGGTCTTATGGGTTGCGAGTTAGAACGGAAGGGCAGGTTTAATTCTGTTCCTCTCTTACCCGTAGTTCTCCCTTGCATATATAGAAGGGCCTTTTAAAATCCTTCCCTATGTGAGGCAGCACCTCTAACATTGCCCCTTTATCCTGGGTTTTAATCTAGCCAAACAAAAGTCCCGATATTGGCAATACTTTTTACATTTTATCTAGCATTTTTAGTTGCTTTAAATAGGTCGATTTCTCTGAATAACTTAGTCTACCATTACCAGAATGCCAACAACTCTGCATCCCATGTTTCCCCCCAGCTATCCCTTGTGTCTGAGGAACTGAGTCCTACTCTGGAAGCGGTACTGGCCCAGGGACACCCAGGGGTAGTCATTGCCTTCGTGGGGGCCTGTCGCAGAGTTGGGTCCCACCAAGCCCAGGTTCTGCAGCTGTTGTTGGAGGTGAGTGGTACATGTAATACATTTATGCCTGTGGTTCAAATTATACCTTATCTAATCTTGAGTTGTTGTACCTCTGGACCCAGGAGGTCTGATGACCAGGGAGTTCACGGATATAGAGGAAAGCAAAGCCAAAAGCCATTTCACAGCCATGGAATGAAAATTGAGTGCAGTGGCTCAACCTGTAATCCCAGCACTTTGGGAGGCCAAGGCAAGAGGATTGCCTGAGCCCAGAGGTTTGAGACCAGCCTGGGCAACTTGGTGAGACCCAGTCTCTACAGTAAATCACACACACACACAAAAACTAGCTGGGCATGGTGGCATGCGTCTGTAGTTCCAGCTACTTGGAAGGCTGAGGAGGAAGATCGCCTGAGCCAAGCAGGTCAAGGCTACAGTGGACGTGGAGTGTGCCACTCACTGCACTCCAGCCTGGGTGACAAGAGTGAGACTCCGACTCAAAAAAAAATTGTCTCCCAGAACTAAGAGAAGTTTATTTAAGGGATAAATGTTTTTTCAACCCTTATATGTGTAAAGAGGCTAGGGATATAGCGAGGCAGATGAAATGCTGCCCTCGAGGATCTTACATTGTTGTAGAGTTACGTTGTTGTAGGCCTTCTTACCTTTCCTGAATGTTTTCCCTATGTAGAAAGTCAAGGTTAGGGATGAGAAAGTTCTCAAGTTCATTATGTTTTGTCTTCCCCTCTAGGCATTTCACTGTGCAGAGCCCTCATCCCGGCAAGTTGCCTGTGTGCCTCTCTTTGCCACTTTGATGGCTTATGAGGTGTACTATGGACTGACAGAGGAGGAGGGGGCAGTGCCTGCAGAGCACCAGGTGAGGTAGGGAAGAGGCCAAGTCAGTGACTCATTGGGGGCCAGGCCTCCCAGGGCTCAGGAAGCCTCTCACTCCCAAGGTGAGGGTGGTGAGATCTCTGACTTCATCCAGATGGAGGTGGCAGTATCCAGGTGGCTCATCTATCTGGCTTGTTGTCTGCCTCCTAGTTTCCTATCTCTGTGCTCTCAGGTGGAAATGGCTGCAGCCAGGACCCTGGGGGAGGTGACAGTCCTTGGATCTCTACTGCTTCAGCATTTGCTGCACTTCTCTACTCCTGGTCTTGTACTTCGAAGTCTGGGTGCCCTGACGGGACCACAACTTCTGACTCTTGCTCAAAGCCCTGCTGGCTCCCATGTACTCGACGCCATCTTGACTAGCCCTTCTGTGACGCGCAAGCAGCGCCGCCGTGTGCTACAGACCCTAAAGGTCAGACTCATGGCTTCTGCTTTGATTCCCCACCATCATCCATTTAGAGAATATGAACTCCCCCCAGGGCTATACCTTCAGAATCAGAGAGAAGATATGTGGGTGGTTCCTAGACTTTTTAAAACCTACCTCTAAACTCCTTAGAAACTCTACTCCCCCCAGCCCCCCAAAGCACACTTTTGTGGACTTCCTTAGAGGGACCTACTGTGCTTATCTCAATGCAGGGACAATATGTGGCTCTGGCCTGTAGTCGCCATGGCAGCCGTGTGCTAGATGCCATCTGGAATGGAGCGGCCTTGGGGGCCCGGAAGGAAATTGCTGCTGAGCTGGGTGAGTACCAGCACCTCTCTTTGATGTTTTCAAACTCTCCTTATCTTACTCAGAATAGTGGGGTGGCTGGGGAGTACACTCAAATTAGCAGAGACTCCAGCTCCAAAGGATGGCCTTGCTCATGGCTTCTTAGTTTGTTTTCCCCTTCCCCTCTGTTGGCTGATTGTGCAATCCTCTGCTCCCACTCCTCCTCCTGACAGCTGTTCTTTGGATAGTGAGGTGTTCACTCTATCCCAGTGACAGGCCTGGGGAAAATGGAGGGACATTCACTGCAAGTAGAGTCTGTCTTCAAACATGAATGGTACTAAACATGAGTGATTCCTTTTGCAGGGGAGCGGAACCAGGAGCTGATAAGAGACCCTTTTGGCCACCATGTGGCTCGAAACATGGCCCTAACCACCTTTCTGAAGCGGCGAGAGGCTTGGGAACAACAGCAGAGTGCAGTGGCCAAACGGAGGCGGGCATTGAACTCTATACTTGAAGACTGAGGCCTTTGTATCTGGGACTGGGTGTTGATGGGGGAGGTGAAAGTGAGGATCCATCCCATCCCTCTCCTAGTTTAAATTGGAGTCGGAAATCTTACTGATAAACATTTTTGTATTTTTATTGGAAATGTTTTGGTTATTTTTTGGAAGAAGGGTATGAAGACATAGTGATCTCACAGTAAAGTCAGAGAGGGGTGTCGTCAGTGTGCTGGGTGCTCAGGGACAGGAGTTGGTGAGGGATCTAGATATAGCAGCAGTCAGGTTGGAATCAAGATGTCTGGGGATGGGCTTGTGGCCTGTCAGGGGAGATGGGAGGCTGCAAATATAGCTAGGAAGGGACAGCATTCTTCAGGTATGGTGTAGGCTTGGGGTGTAAGGCATTATGCTGATGGGTCTGTCACAATAGAGTCAGAGAACAGTGGGGAAACTGGGTGAGTTACCTAGCCTGCACTATCTGCATGTCCCAAAACCTGATTCTGTCAGTCTCTCATAGTGTGTCTCTTGGAATATGTCTGGGGGCAGAAGCTCAGAGCCCCTTCTCAGTAGGAATGGAGGCGACCCTGCCGCTGCCACTGCTCAGCCCCCTCCACTATATGGCGAAGAGTGGAGGAAATTCCCAGCAACATATGACCCAGGCCTTGCAGTAGCTTGGAAGTCCAACGAAGGAACTCCCTGAAGGGCAGAGACAAGAGGACATCAAATGACCAGGGGAACCCGGGAGGAAGCCATTGAGCTTGGGGCTGGGGGTTTTCACAAGCGAGAGCTAACTAGGGGTAGATTGGTAAGGGAAAGGAATTAGGAGGACTGTCCAACTGTAGAGAATGGGGAAGTATGACATGTTGATTTCTGACCTGAGTACTTTCTTTGGGCCGAGTCCTTGAAAGTCGCAACTCATGGAGTAGAGCCCGTAGAAGGTGGCTTTGACGTTCAGGCTTCCAAAGAGGTCTCGAGGGTTTTGCTTGTACACATCAAAGGTGATGCGGGCAATGTCCTTGCTGTGCTTGGGCTTCTCCCGTCCCAGGCCATATGACAGCACTCCACTCTGTAGGGCACCTCCATCAGTGCAGTGGACCCTGACACCACCCATCACTGGGTCATACACACCCTCGCCTGGACTGTCTATCCACTGTGTGATGTCCTTGACAACTCCACAACTCTTAGCACCTCTGTCCCCAAGATAAGGGCTAGGCCAGTAAAAGCAGCTCGGGAGTGCTATAAAGGACTGGAAGCCTAAGCCCAGCATGAGGTCTCACCCTGGTGGAGCTCCAGCTCTGCCCACGCTCCAGCACCATCAGGCATGTGTCATCCTCCAGCAGCTGGAAGAAGTCCTCACTCTCCACGGCAGTCCCATCCTCCTCCAGCACCAGTGTCAGCACTCCACTCAGCAGCAGGGTCTCCAATGCCTGCCCAGGCAAGAAGCAGGAAGGAAGGGGCAGATCTTTCCCCATGCCCCTCCCCTCCCGTCCCCTCTAGCTGCCCAACATCCATCAGTGGCCCTAGATAATGACTGACGTTCCAACTCTACTTCCTGGCACTTTGCCATTCCTCCTGAAGGCTGCAGCTCTCAGTGTGCTTTAGTTGTTGGGGGATGCTAATTAGGGGCTGACCTTATTCCTGTTTGCTCCTGCTATGCCAGTGTCATCTCCTCCTGCTCCCCTCCAAGCCACTCCTACTGGTTTGGAATTGAAACACTAGCCAGGTTCTCTTGAAGTCCATCCTGTCTTACCTGCAATGTCTCACCTCACTCTTCCCTCACCTTCAGAGTTCTCCAGAATTCTTTTCAGTAATAGTGTTTAACCTTTGTGAACCCTTATTATGTGCCAAGTATCCATGAGGACTTTACATACATTATCATCTTATTCCTTTCAACAACCCTAGAAGGTGATGTATTATTTTCTTTTTATAGGTAAAACAGATTTAGATAGATTGAATAATGTCCTAATATTTGACAGCTGGGATGTGGCAGAATCAGAATTTGAACTTGATTTATCATACAAACTTATTCCATACCAACTTCTGAATTCTCTCTCTCCGACTCTCCCTATCTACTGCTTCTACTCCCAAAGAAATGCCCACTGTGTGGAAGATAGATCGACTAAAGTGCAGCAGAAGTCATTGGGCTTACCCCTTTACTTTTAGCCCTTAGAGGAAGAGACAGCTGTGTGACCTCAGCCCTTTCTGCTCCATCATTCCAGGATGTCACTATTCTTAGTCTCTCGGCTGCCCTGCTATAGGAACCCAGGAACTTGGCTCGCTCACCTTGTCTAGCAGCTCCTGGCGGGTGGCAGCTGTCAGGCCTTTCCTGATAGTTCGCTTGTGATCACAGACACGGAAAGGTCGCTGCGGTGGTGGAGCTGAGGTCCAGACCCTCCGTCCAAACTCAGAGCTCATATTAGATACTGTCCTGGCAGTTGGGAATAAAAGTCAAGAAGGGGCAAAGAGGGCTTGCTGAGTGCAATGAGGATGATGAGGGTGGGGTTGCTGCTGGGTTAGGGAGGAAGGGATCAGACCTAGGTTTGCAGATTAGAGTAGAGAGAGGAGACACCATGGGGTGGGGGTGGCAGCTGATTGTTCAGGAGCTGGACAAACGCACTGGAGTAGGGGGCAGGAAAAGAAGGGCTAGGGGTGAGTCTCCAAGTGGAGCTTTGTTGCCCCACCTATATCTCCAAAGCTGGAGGGTAGAGAGGAGTATTAGAAATCACCTGAGCAGGCCACTGGGGTTCAGGGAGGAGAGGTATTCCATGGTGGAGGGGAGAAGGATTCTCTCGTGACTCTCTGCTGTGCTGGGGCTGAAGCGTTTTCTAATACAAGGCTGGGATCTCACTCCCGGATGAGGTGGGGATGAGACATGTCCGGACTCTGGCCCCCCAGCCTGGCCAGTAAGAAGGGCAAAGTCCAATGGGAGGGAGGGAGGAGGGGCTAGATGGGGTACTGGAGGAAGAATTGCCCAGCAAAAGCCACTGGAGCTTGTGTGTGAGTGTGTCTGGTGAGGGCATGTGTTGTGAGGGTCGACGAGAGCCAGGTAAAAGGATGCAATGTGACCTTTGGGGTTTTTATTTCTGTGGAGAGAATTTCCAGGAACAGTTTCTGGCTCCCAGCTTCTGAGAAGCTGCTCTAGCTAACGTGAGTTGTCCTGTATGTGCTGCCGCCTACTGGAAAAGCCATAAACTGCAGCTAGGTAGAGGGAGGCTAGGCTGAGGGTGGGGACCCTGCACGGGCAGGACTTGGGAAAATGAGAGGTGAGTCAGTGTGTCCTGAGGGGCGTGAGGAGAGGATGGATCCTGACCTGAGCCCCTGGGATCCTGTCTGGGACTCTGGCCTTCCTGCTTACGTGCTCCTTCCTCCTTGGTCAGAGGAAGAGGCTGGCTCAGCACTGTTCCAAACTCATTCTCCAGAACTGCCTGCTTCAGCCACCTTGGATAGCCATCTTTTCTCTCACCTTTCTCCTTTTTCCAATTAGTTGGCATGAAGGAGATGTGAATGGGGCAGGGGATATCCTCTGCTGGCATCAGGACTTTAGTTTTTGGTGTCCTGTGTCACATCTCGGCTTCCAGTTGCAGCTGTAATGGACAGTTGCATGGATACTCAGACTCTCACTGACAGTTAACCCCTCAAATGAGCACAGTCTGTTTTCCTGCCCAAGCACCTTGTGGGTCCTTCAGCTTTCCCACTTTCTTTCTGTGTCCTGACTGAGAAACACAGAGTACCTTGAATGCTCTGTGATCAAGTATTCATTTCTCCTGCAGGCTTGAACTCAACCTGGGTCTGTGTATTAGTCCATTTTGCCTTGCTATAAAAGAATACTGAGGTGGGGTAATTTTTAAAGAAAAGAGGTTTATTTGGCTCACAGCTCTTCATGACACTGGCATCTGCTTGGTTTCTGGTGAGGTCTCAGGAAGCTTTGACTCATGGTGGGAGGCAAAGGGTGAGCAGGAGTGTCACATGGTGAGAGTGGAAACAAGCAAGAGGGAAGGGAGGTGCCAGCCTCTGTTAAACAACAAACTTTTACTCATTACCATGAGAACAGCACCAAACCTTCCAAGAGGGATTCGCCCCCAAGACCCAACACCTCCTAGTAGGCCCCACCTCCAATACTGGGGATCATATTTCAGCATGAGATTTGAGGGGACCGACATCCAAACTATATCAGACCTTGCACATTACCAGGCATGGATAAGGGTGTTCAGATTGTTGCCCAAAACACTGAAAGAAACTGGTCCTGGCTCTGAGCCAGACTCCTTAATCACTCATATAAATTCCATGCCCGACCCCCTTGTTTTGGACATACCTAGATAGAATGTCCCTTTCTCACTGTTGTGAGGATACACTGCAGCCTGCTCTATAAGTAAGTTACCCTAATAAATGCTTTAGACTCATCATCCCACCAGTGTTTGTCTTGGGCATCCCGTACACTTCTCAAAGTCCCCAATGCCTACTGGAGGGACTCAGGACATTCATATTGGCTTTCTTCTTCTCTGTCTTACCCTGCACCCTCGCCCCTGCTTCCTGAGTTGACCTCCCAAATATAGGATTACCTTTACCAATGCCCTTAAGTCAGGCTCGGCTTCAGAAGAACCCAAACTAAGATGATGCTCCTGGTGTCCTGAGGCAGGGTGGTGTGGGAACCCCCCGTTCCAGCTGTTGGCTAGGCAGAGAGCTTTCCCTTCCCTTCCCTCAACTCTGTTGATCTGCCAGGCCCCCCTCAAATCTCTTGATTTCCAAGCTTTGTTTGACCTCTCCAAGAGACGTGCTTTTTCAGTGTGTCTCGACCACTGCATCCTTTCCTTCTTGTATTCTTGTGCAGCTGGTGGTGTGGTCTTTCATGGTTGTGTGTATGACTCCCCAACCAGATTATGAGCCCCTTAGACCTCCATGCATCCCCCATCCCCCAGATTTTAGCACCATGCCTTACTTGGAAAAGTTATCATTGACAGCCCAATGAGAGCCCTGAGGGTGGAGTGACTGGGGCAGGGTTCAGGACAAGAGATGGGAGGAGGAAGCCAGGAGCAGAGGAGAAGGAGCAGGAGGCTGGAAACAGGCAAAGATCGAGCAGCTGGGGGAATGAGTTGTTTAGGTCACTTTCTCTGCTGAGTGTAGGCCAGGGAGGCCAGGGGACACAAGCACTGAAGAAGGTGGGTTGGGAGGATTGGGGTCAGAGTTGGGGGAGGGACGAGAACAGAAGCAGGAGCAGGGTCGGCATTCAGCAGAATGTTCCTACTCCCTTCCATGGCTGGGGAAGCTTATCTGCACCCCATTCAGCTTATCCTGTTTCCTGGTGAGGCAGGCTCTCACATGCCTGGACGCTTGGACGCGTTAGTGATGGGAAGGAGTAACTTGAGGGAGGGGCCTCAGGAGATGAGCCTCACCTTGTCTCTCCCCATTCTCACCTCACCCTGCACAAATGTGACAGGCACAGGACAGGAGTAGGCACCTTGCCACTGCTTCTTCGCCTTTCAGCTTCCCCAGGCCCCTCACAGGCCCCCAACTGCTTGCTCCCAGCTGGGTAAGTAGGTCCCTTTATTCCCTACCACCCACTTTTGATCTGAGGTACAAAGAGTGGGGGTGAGAAGCCCCAGACTAGAAGGGTGGAGGTGGAGACAGCCTGGAGTGAGGCCTGGAGTGAGGACTGGAGGCCTGGGTACTGTGGGAAGGAGACCGGAGTGGGGAAGTTCAGCTAACTGGGAGCCGGGCCTCTGGGTTCCAAAAAGGAGTCGTTTTGAGTTGGGCCCTGGGGTCCTGAAGGTCAAGGCTCCCAGACAGAAGAGAGGCAGGCTGCAGGGGAATTGGGGGAGGTTCCTCTCTTCTCACCTGGCAGCCGCAGAGGTAACGGAGGCTTTTGCCTCAGCCTGAGCGCCCTCTGTGGCCCCTTCCAGCCCCCTGAAGGCCAAGAAGGATGTCGGTCTGCTACAGTCCTCCGGGGAACGAGACATTGCTAAGCTGGAAGGGCTCGCGGGCCACCGGCACAGCCTTCCTCCTGCTGGCGGCGCTGCTGGGGCTGCCCGGCAACTGC